TTGGCCGTGGTCTTGGTATTGTTATTCAGACTGTGGTGTGTGGAATGTGAGATCAAGTTAAGCAATTTTGTGATACTTTAATTCTATCATCACGGTGTCCTTTAGAACTGGAATTTCCAGCATGGGAGAAAGGGGATCTAAAATCAAGACCAAAGTAAATACAGACCCGAAAGTTCTGAATTTGACTGGGAAGAATAAGTATTATCACTATACATTTCCTCTTAAAACCAAAATATTTACTTCTAACTTATGTCCACTGAAAAACAAACACTAACACAGTGGCAATGAGCACCCCTAAGTGTCCAATCTTTTTTAGAGAAATGGCTGATTTCAGGTCTGGGGCAGAAAGTGTACAAGATGAGCTAAGAACATCTAGGCCTAGCAGATAGCAACGAAGCTATGAAAACTAGTAGTGTCATGTTGAAATGACTCTGGAGTCAGATCAAAAGGGCCAAAGATGGGACAACCTGAGCATCAATAAGGCAAGTACTGCCAGGTTTTGAAAACATCAACTGGGTTAAAAATTCATGAGTTCAATTTTAAAAACAAAACAACAAAAAACAACACCTGAACTGATACGATCACAGGATGCCAACAGAACAACTTATTTTGGGGATAAAAATGTAAACAAGAAAAAAACATCAAATACTTAAATCATCTTTCTTACACAAACTGTATCACTGATTAACCAAACAGCAGAGGCGAAGCTTCTCTTTTTAAGTTTTCTAGCTTATACCTGAATAAGGAATTACAGAATTAAAATACCACCATTTTGAAATCCCTAATGAATAAACAAATCTAGGCTTTAACCGTCAGCTGCTACTAAAATCCCAAAGAAAGCAATCATATTTTTCCTCCTCATCAAAAAAACTAAGCCACTACCTATGAAGCAGTCTTGCCAAGAAGAAAAAAGAACCCAAATCTGAAAAAGTCTCTATATTCCACTATTGATTTACAAGATATACAGAGAACAGCGAACATGTCAAAATTACAATACACAAGGGTGGGAGGGAAGGAGAAAGAAGAGGTTACTGCTTATGGAGTACTAACTTTCGGTTCACAGGTGACAGAAAAATCGAATTAAGGGTAGGGTTGCACAGCCGATTAATGTAATTGGTGTCAATAAGTTGTACACCTGCAGAAAGTTGAACTGGTAAAAGTTGTGTGATGGATACATTTACGACACACACATACACAGAGTAGCTGCTGAGGCCGCTGAAGTACAACCAAACACTTCGTGGAATTTGGTTGCTTGGTTTGGAGGTTCAGGATTGTGGTTTCATGGGACATCCTAGTTAACTAGCTTAATATCATGTTTAGTGTTTCTGTTTGTTACTACTGCCTGTGGTCTTAAAAAGCTTGCAAGCTGCCATCCAAAGTACAACAATTAGTCTCTATTTGCTTGGAGCAAGAGGAAGAGAGTTACGAATAGGAGGAGGATATGCAATGTGTGGCTGTCTCCATGAACAACTCCCTCCTTTGCCATGAAACCAGAAGAACTGGATGGTGCCTGGCTACCATTACTGAACATTTTGAGCAAAGACTCTATAAAAGAATCCTGATCGAAAGAGGGAAAATGCAAAAGAGAACTTCAAATTTTCATGGACTCTAGACTTTCTGGAGCCACGAGGGCTGGATGAACCCCTGAAACTACTGCCCTGAGATAATCTTTAAACTTTAAACCAAAAATATCCCCTGAAGTAATCTTAAAACTGACGAACAGTTAAGCCTTACTAAAAAAATGCCTGCCCTGATCATGTGTTCTTTTAAGATCTTTCTGTATGGGATCAAATTCACAACAGCAACTGGAAGGATTAGACAGAAAACTTAAGAGGGCAGTGAGTTTGTTAATGAGGGAGAAACAACTCGGAAAAAGAGTGAGAACGGCTGCATAACTTGAAGAATGTAATCAGCGTCACTGAATTGTACATGTAGAATTGGTGTATGCTCTGCTGTGGATATTCTCAACAACAAAAATAAGTTATTTAAAAAAAACTGTAACACACAACAAAACTCATAGTGTAGGAAATCTTACAGCAGTGCTTCTCGAACTACCTGTCATGGATCGGTTTACTACCAATTTTTTCTAATTTACAGAGTAATACCTTTGTAAAATACAATAAAGTGTACTTTTAGTAAGTGAAATAAAAAACACAAAACACACTAACTAAAAACGCGTTTAAAAAATTTTTAGATTTAAAGCACAGACATAAAACTACTCTGTCAAATTATGGTAAAGTTTCTAAACATTCTCTGTTTCTGTACCTAAGCCCTCACAAACTGGTAACAAACAGTTCAAGAACTGGCACTGGGTCCAAAGACTAAGTTTTGAGCAGCACTGCTTTGCAAAAACAAAAGATCTGGTTTCTTCATCAAATAAATTGCAAAAGGAGAGAAGGAGAACCTATATATTAAAAATAAATTCAAAAAACCTGTCAGTTGTAGCATGGATCTTATTTAGATCCTGATTCAAACAATGTAAAACAAAACAAAAATCATTTATGAGACAGTTGAAAATTTGAACTGGATTTTTCTTTGAAAATATTTTATTGTCTTTTGAAGGTTTACACAGAAAATTAGGTTCTCATTTGACAATTACTACACAAATTGTTCAGTAACATTAGTTACATGTTTCACAATGTGTCAACGTTTTCTTTAATTGCATTCTGGCTGTTCTAGTTTCAGTACTCTAGTTTTCCTGCCCCTTATCTTCATCTTTGCTTTGGAGTAATTGTTGACTTTTTGGTCTCATATAGATTTTTTTAATGGAGCCCTGTACTCATGGGTAATATCCTTTGTGTGTCAATCTGTTATCTGGCTAAAAGGTAACCTCAGGGGATAGTTTCAGTTCAAGGTTTACGGAGTTATCTCAGGGCGATAGTCTCAGGGAGTCCTCTAGTCTCAACTGGTCCAGTAAGTCTAGACTTAAGAATTTGAGTTCTGTTCTGCATTTTTTTACCCCGTTCTATCAGGGTCTGTCTACTGTAGCCCTGATCAGAATGGTTGGTAGTGGCAGCCAGGTATTAGGTTCTTCTGGTCTGAGCTTAGATGAGCGTGTGCCTCGCGTAGGCTATTAGCCCTATAGACTAGTTTCTTCTCTAAGACTTTGGTTTCCTTCTTTCTCTTTTGGTCCTTTTGAGCAGAAACCAATAGCTGTTACCTTACATGGCTGCTCGCAAGCTTTTAAGACCCAGATGCTACTCACCTCATTTGGATGCAGAACATGAACTTTGTGAACTATATTTAATGCCAACTGAGTTGTTCCATGAGACTATAGTCCAAAGCCTTCAAACTCAAAAACCAATCTCACAAGGCGCTTGGTTATGTCTGAGAAGTATCTGTAACTGTGCCTTCTATGTCTGCACACACATATCTGTATGTACACATATACACTTCTATCTGTGCATATATACATACGCTCCTGTACGACCCATACACATACATGCCTATACACCTGCTTACGTATGCATACGCTTGTTTTTTGGTTGTTGGTGTCACTGTCAAATTATATATGTCATATTCTTAATCTGAACTGGATTTTGATTTAAATAAGGAATATTTTTACTGATACTGGTTAGGTTAAAAGGAATCCTTATCTTTCAGAAATACATAATACAACATGTATGGGTAAAACGATATAATGTCTGAGATTTACTCTGACATTATACATTGAGATGTGAGAGTGAAAAAACATATATGTGTATGTGTGCATTTCTCTACACACACCCACACAACTGTCTTGAGTTGATAATTGTTGAGACTAGGTAATTACTATATGAGGCTTAATTATCTTATTCTACCTATTTTTTGAAGATATGCTTGATTTTCCCACAAATAACAATACTAAAACCTGACTCTTCTTCTTTTTTTAAAAAAGAATTCACAGTGAGTCCTGAAATGGTAAGTTTCCACAGCAATTTGTGTCAGAAAAGGTAATCAAATCTAGAAGCTTTTATTAGAGTATGGTGCTGACAGAAGTAAACCTTTCTCCAAGTAGCTGATGCAATAAAACTTTTAAAGAGGTCGTGTTGAATGCAATATTTTTCTTGTTTTGGTGTCTAGATGATGGAATGGTAGAAACCTAAACGTAAGCTGCAATCCAAATTCTCTCTCTCAACCAACTAATAAGTAGAAGCTGCTATGTACTGAAATCTGTGTGTGGGGAGGATAAAAAAGAGTTTCAAGGTTTTCTGACAAAGAATAATTCTAAAATTATATGCAAAAAGCATACGCTTATTTTTGGAAAAATCTCACAAAATCTTTTGTATTTGGGGCCCTAGGATAAAAGTTCAGTCTTAAATGCAAAAAATCAACAGAGAGGAACATTACTTGCTACGTATAATTAACTACCAAAATCTGTCACTACAATGAAACATAAAAATACCCCTACTACTTCCATGCTTTAGTAACTTCCTTTCATTCTAATTTAGAACTGCAATTCAGAAAGAGAAAATATCCTTTTCCCAGAATTAATTTGAAGGAAATAAGTTTTACATTTAAGTTCTTAAGATATAAACTCTAAGGTCGACCCAGACAAAAAATTAAAGGTTGTAATTTCTCTCCTAGGTTTAAAAGCTTCAGAAGCAGGCCAGGAAATGGAAGGGTCTTTAAAAAATTCTTATTTACTCTGATTGACTGTTCTGCCTTAACTTGCTGCCATCTTATTCTCCCAGCTTTTTAATTGCTTATTCCTCTTACTGGAGCCCTGGTGGCGTGGTGGCACAATGGTTAAGAGGCTGGCCGCTTACCAAAAGGTCAGCAGTTTGAATCCACCAGCCGCTCCTTGGAAACCCTATGGAGCAGTTCTACTCTGTCCTATCAGGTTGCTATGAGTCGGAATCGACTCGAAGGCAGAAGGTTTGGTGTTTTTTTTTGGCTATACCTCTTATTACCTCATTCATCCACATGGTTTTAATTACAGCAGAGTCTTGGTACTCACAAGCCACCCACCCCAGCCCACCCCATCCTTATCCCCACTTCCCTAGACTGTGGCAGGCAGTATTCTGTAATTTTGCTCCGGCTATGGCTAAGTTTGAACTGTGTATGCAGTTAGGTTGGAGAGCAAGAAAAAGTTGCTGCCTTCTGCTCTTCACTCCACTTCTTGCCAACTGTGAGGTAACTCCTGCGCTGTGATGGAAGTTAAGAGATCTAAAAAAGTAGTTCTTTTTAATTTCTCTGCACTCACCCCCTTTCTCTTATTAATTAGTATGCTCTAATCTGGAAAGAACTGAGGAATCAGATACTAAAAAAATTCAAAGTTTGAAGCATAGCCTAGAACTAAAAATTTTCACAGTACAGGGCTATGTCTAGTACCTACTAACAATCCACTTAATCATTTTTTGTACCTTTACAACTTCTTACAAATATATTAAATAATTCAAATAGCTTAAAAAGAAAACCCTGGGGCCCATGGGAAGTAAAGGCTGCTTTGTAGCTTCAAGTTAATAATAAATGATTTGTTAGGTGCTACTTAAGTTAGTCTTGGCAGAAACAGCAGGTGTTTTCAAAAGCAAGAAAAAAAAAAAAAATCTTCCCAACACATTAAAAAACCAAGCGAAGTTCTACTCAAACCTACCTGGGCCAACCATGATATAATCTAATTTTACCCAGAAAAATGGGAAGTTTAAGAAACCTTTGACCTGTACATGAATGGCTGAAACTCAGTAAAACACTGTCATGCTATGAATTCCAGAAACACATGGAAGAATTCCAAACATGCCCAGCCACAGGGGTTGTAGAGAAGAACTTTGTCTACAATCATAGGCAATTAAGTCTTTAATAAATCAGCCACAAACACAAGACGGTATTTTAAATATACAGTAGGAACATTTATTTTAACACTCTAAAAGATATTTATCCATGCCTGATGATTTGATATAAAAATCAAACCCATCATACTTTCCCCATCAGTCTTTCTACATTAAGGGCAATCAGAAATTTGTACAACATGAATATTTGCTTCTGAAACAAAAGTTACAAATTAAGTGGTAACAAAATACACAAATCAACTGGACCCTAAATGAATTTCTAATGAAATTTTTTCTTTTCCCCCCAATCACCTAGAGCTTCTTTCTTCAGCCTCATTCTGCTCCTTTTCCCTTCTTTGCTTGGCCATGAACTTCTGTTAAAAGCAATTTGCAATATAAAATACTTATTAGAGGTTGTTTTTCTGTGCAAACATATTTAATGTATTTTATTGTAGTTACAATTTAAAAGAGACTGATTCTACAAAATAAAGATAAGAAACACTGTGCCTTATATTAACATTGCTTCCTTTCACTCATTAGTCATCTAATATTTATGATACACCAGCACTACACTTGGTCTGGGGATTCAGTGGTCAACAAGATAGATAAGGTCCTTTACCTCACGGAGTTTACATTCTAGTGGGGAAAAAGAAACACTAAAGGAGTAAGTAACCAAGACAAATTTGGGTGGTGGAAAGCACTATAGAGGAAATACAACAAGGTAATTGAATGAGGTTGACCCTTTTCAGGGGGTTGGGTGGGAGAGTGTGCTACTTTAGTTAGGCCCTTCCCTGAGGCAAAGGCTTTTCTGGGAGCTGATATTTCAGTTGAGAAGATGAGGAAGAACCAGCCATGCAAACGGGACTGGGAGGAGGCAAAGGAGCATCAATATGTATGTACAGAGGCAGCAAAGGGCCTTTCATGTATGAAAAATAGTTCCAACTAAGACAGCCAGAAAAGCTAGAACATAGTGAACAAAAATAGTGAAAAACAGTGAGGTCAGAGAATAGGAATCAGACTGCATAGGGCCTTACAGTCCCATGATAAGAAGTCTAGATATTATTCTAAGTGCAACATGAAGCCACTGGAAGATTTTAAATGGAGAAATGACATGATAAACTAAGTTGAGAGCATAGATAGCACAGTGGAATGTTTAAGGACTTGGGCCTAGAATAAAACAGAGCTGGGTTCAAATCCTAGTTCTGTCACTACCTACATATATTAGTTACTTAATCTCTTCAAGCCTGTTTCCTCATCTTTAAAATTGGAATGATAGCATCTATCTCATAAAGTTAACAGTGGATTAAATAAACTCACAACACGTTCTTGTTCAATGTTAGATGTGTGCCTGTGCCACAAATTCAACAGTGAGGTATGCAAAACAACTCTCAAACATTTGGGAGCAATCAGAACCACTGTTTCACTGGGGCTAATGAGGACCCTTCTAGGGTAGTACTTCCCAAAGAAAGTTGCAACTGAAAAAAGTTTTTGTAACCAAATCAATTTAGGGAATGGGTTAAACAAAGTTAAGCAGGATTCTGTCGAGATATTTCAGAAACTTTAATATGCTAATGTGCACATGACTCTGTGAGAGGGTAGCAGAATATGCAGTTTCCCACCAACAGAGTGCCACATGGGACTAGTGAGCTGGAGAATCTACTCTGGCAAATGCTGCTATTCAAGGAAAGGAAAGGAAGACTAGAAGTTACTGGCAAAGCATAGTGAGGAAGAAAAATAAAATTCTGGACTTAAGAGGAACAAGCTTGCATAAACATTCAAAAGTTCTCCCAAAGGGAAAGAATGTACATTTTGGGTAGACATTTGAGTAGTTCAATTTAATACAATAACAGCACCTGAAGATTTTATGAAGAGTAAAGAATAAAAAGCTATTTACCTCTGTATTTTGCTTATGACGTGTACTCTTGCAGTGATTTATCATTGCTTTTTCACCTGAGTAGAAGAGGGAACAAATTGGACAGAAGAATCCAGCCTTGGGTACAAGAAAGTCTAAATCTAGAGGACAGAAAGAGGGAAGAGAAAGGAGGAAAATTAACAATTATTTATAGCTGTGCTGATCAATTTACCTAAACATAAACACAACAAACATACTAAGCATTGTACACACTACATATAAGCACAGTATATACTGCTATATATCTAGCAATCAACAGCAGTTAAACCTTTAATAACAAAACATAGGTCTTTATTTTTTAAAACAAATTCTATAGTATCCCAGAACCTCCAGGGAATGCCAGAATGCCACTGCACCGGTACAGTGCAAGCTGAACAGGTGCCCATGGAAAATCTTTAGATAACAAAGAACTGCTCAGCAGTCCTTCAGAATACCAATTCACTGGATAAGAATCTGATTTCAAGTCTTCGAAATAAACCTCTTAGGAATACCCTGTTCCAATAAAACAGGGTGAAGAGACAGAATGATGAGCAACTGCTTGCTTGAGGAATATGCTGGCTAAGCAGATAAGGTTCCCTCCTCTGCTCTACTTAGCAGGTCATGAACAGGCTGCTAGCTAAGCTTTTCAGCATATTCTGCTTAACTGGAGTTTCTGCCTAGAAAGAACTTTTTACCAATTTCTCACCACAGCAGCAAAGAAAGCACCAGAGTAAAAGAGGAGACACATTCCAGGCTTCAATAACTGGCTAATTCCCACTCCAAAATAAAAAAAAAAAATCTAAGCAAGGTCACTCAAGTACTCATTTAAACAATATTAATTATTGTGTTGAATTTATATTTCATAGGGATAAGGAAAAAACGTCGTTTATACTTTACCTGCAGGGACATCAGTTTCCACCGATTTGCTTAAAGAAGAGTCCTCAATCTTCATGCGTTTTTGCTCTGGTTCTGAGTCACTTAATCCAGATTCTTCATCAGCTAAAGTCATTAAGTTTTTCAAGGAAAAGAAAAAACATTATTCAAAACAGATTTACAGACTTTATGAAGCTAATATCAGATAATCCTCTCTGCCTTTAAAGACAAACTTAAAACTAATCTAAGAAAACACTCCTTTAGTTAATCCAATCTGCCCACTCTTTGTACAATATTCTCCAAGATTCTTTCATGCAAGAACAGATGGTAAATCTGCTCAGCTTTATTAAATGGATTCAAGGGTACAGGCTAAAGCTAACAGCATATTTTATTTACACATTATCTCAGAAAGAATTTAAAGGGTAACGGAAGAAGTTCAATTTTTATAATTACTGGTAAGAGTTAACTAGTAATTACTAGTGTATGCAAGGTACTGGGGTAGGGAGAGTGGGAATTAATGGGCAAAGGACATGAATGAAGAATAACTCCGATGCCCTATACTAAAGCCCTTCCAACTTAGAAAAACTAAACCTAAAGCAATTCTGGTTACCCTCAGTAACTGAAATACCTTATTGGTGCAAGTTGTTATTTGCCTTTGAGTCAATTCCAGCTCATAGCGACCCCAAGTGTACAGAGTAGCACTGCTCCTCAGGTTTTCAAAGCTGTGACCTTTAGGAAGCAGATCGCCTATCTTTCCAATACACCTCTGGGTGGGTTCAAACCACCAACCTTTTCGGATACTAGCTGAGCGCTTAACTGTTTGCACCACCCAGGGACTCCTTTAATGTTGGGTAGTATTTGACAATCCCCTTCCCATATACATCATTCATTTAGCTTTTATCCCATGTGAGACAGGCAGGTCAAATCATTATTATCCCTATTTCTTCACAGATGGAGAAAGCAAAACCGAGAGCTAATGAACAGATTTGCCCTAAGTCATATAGCTAGTGAGTGACAGAGAATAGAATCCAGGACTTGTGATATCAAGTTAAGTGCTCCATTCATTGCCTAAGGTACTCTTTACCAATTCTGCGGGGATGGCTAGGAAATTTGAAATCATCATCTACTCTTCTTTTATTCCTCACATCCCACTGGTCATCAAGTCCTGAATATTCTATAAAAAAGCCTTTTCTTGACTTGATGGTTAGAAGAGCCCAGTCTCCTTGCCTCTAGTCTCTTACTACAGTAGTTTATTCCTCACCAAAGTAATCTTCCTCAAACACATCTGCTCTGTAACTCCAAAGGCACATCTATCTTATAATATGAATTTTATCAATTTAAGTAGATTAAAACAAATAATTTAAGTTCAAAATTGTGTGGAAAAATGACTTTTTCTTCATTGGGGTCCTTTTGTCAAATATATTGCCCATTAATAAAAACAAATTGTTAAGTAAGCAGTAAATAAAAATCATCCTTTCTATATTACTCAGTTCAGGTAGCTCCAGGCCAGATGGTAGTTAAAGTTCCCCTATCATATAGAAATCCCAAAAAGTCTCATGGAATCATGCTAGGAGCTATTAGTTAAATTACTAAACCACTAACTCTGGCTTGGTATCAAGGAGTGGTTATGGAGATGAATAGACAAGGAAGGAGTACCCACTTGGCTAAGAAAGAGAGCTTCAAGAGAGAGGGCATGATCAATAGTAACAAATGATGCAGGAAAATCAAATAAAATTAAAGGGGAAAAAACAAACAAAAACCAATTCTGACAGGAACCCAATGGGGGTTCTTTATCAAGATCAGTTTTAGGAAAGTGGTAGAAAATGAAACCAAAACAAAACCAAAAAAAGTAAATATAAGCACCTCTTTTTATTTCAGATTGTTCTTAAAGAAGGAGAAAAGATGGGAGGCAGAGGGATCCCAGTACTAAGGACATTTTTTCCTTAATGGGAAAGACCTGACCTTATTTCACGTGAAAGGAGTCAACGTGGATAAAATACAGGTTGGGAGGCAGGAAAGATTCTCTACATGTTATGGTAAGTAGAAATGAAAGCAAGGTCAGCCAGTTAGGATGGGCTAAGTGACGAAGAAATGGGCAAAAGCGTATATTACTACCCCTGGTTAGGAAATGGGAAAGAAAAAGATCTATAATAAATTGTGGTGCTACACTTTTGGAGGGCCCACCTGAGATCAAATTCAATAAACCTCTTAGACTGAATCGTGGTTGGTAGTTTTTCTTTAGAGAAAATAAGATAGAAGACCAAGAGAAAGGAGAATGCTGCAAAGAGAGCAGTGAAAGGGACACCCTTACAGTGCTGTTTAATTCATACTGATGGTTGATTTTTTGTTTGTTTTACCTCTCCAAGTCAATAAACTCCCCAAGATCTACACTTCTTAGCATTTTGCTCTGAATGTGATAGACACAACGACAAATATTTCTTGAAGGACTAGAATATTTTCCCTCACTAGATACTGTTGCCTATTTGTTTCAACATAAATTTCATTAATGTTAGTAAGACATCTTATGTAACATCTTATTTAATTCACTGACTGGCTGTTTTGCAGCATGCACAAAGCAACGGATCTCGTTCACCTATTTAAAAAACAAAACAAAAGCCAAACCTACTACTGTCAAGTCAATGCCAACTCACATTGACCCTGCAGGACAGAGAAGAACCGCCCCAAGGGTTTCCAAGGCTATAAATCTTTACGGAAGCAGACTGCCACATCTTTCTCATGCGGAGCAGCTGGTGGGTTCGAACTGCCGACCTTTTGGTTAGCAGCAGAGTACTTTAACCACTGTGCCAGTAGGGAACCTGGTCCACATATAATAGTCGATAAATGATCTCTACCTGAAGCTGCTACATGGTCAGAATAACTTTCTGTAGATCACTTCCACAATTTTTTCAAATTCTGTTACTGACATTCCATTATCTCTCTGAAGTACAAAGATAAAAATCTTTATCCAGATCTAATAATAAGGCTGCCTTTTTTCCTCTACTCTATTTCATTCTTTTTCTACTTTACTTCTTAGATGGTAGATCTCTGGAACTTTAACCACTCCCTCGGTATTATGTTACTCTCCTCCCCCTCTGATTAATCCTGCTTTACCTTCACTAATTTCGAAGACCTCTTCACCTTTTGCTGGTTCTGTTTCAACAGCTGTTTCTGATGGTGGTGTCTTCCCCATTCTAACTCTCTTGGTTGGCGTTTTAGCTTTAAAGAGAAAGTCTAATTTATTGCTATAGTCACAGTATTTAAATTGCTTTTAACTTTGAATAACAAGTAACTTCAACATCTTACTCTTGCAAAAATGATAACCCAGTTTGGAAAGGAAATCTATTCCTCATATAAAATAGGAAAAGTCTATTAAAAAACATTCAGCATCAGTCTAAACATTCTCCTTTTCTTTTTTCCATTTATCTTGTTCCAGACAACTTATACATAATTTTTCCAATTTGTTCCATAAACCTGTAGGACCTTTCTACTATTTTATTCTTAGTTCGGTCAAATCTTTCAAGACTTTCTTACATGGAAATAATTCTGATCTCCCTCAAGTCTTGAAAGTAAGGTGACCTATTATTCTGTACCACCAACATACTATTTAAAAGTAAAATGGTACCTTTATGAATTTCTCTAAATTCTATGTCTAAACAAAAACTGGGAGGCAGTTTGGGGCAAACGTCCTGCTTATCCGAAGCTGTTGTTTCCCAGATACCATTCCATTTCAGTTCCAATCTGGGTACTCTAGCTTGCTTTCTGTTTTTGTTGTCTTTTCTTCATGTGCAATAACTTCGGTAAGCTCTGCTCTGTAACTAAGATAAATCTGTGAAACTTTAACATATTTCTTTGGAAAACATATCACTGGCTATAAATGTTTATTCGTTGCCTTCTTATATCAACACAGGGTGAAATGATTAGTAAAGCCAACCTATATTTTATAATTAACTTTAAATGTATTTCCCTCAAAAAACAGAAAAATTATCACTGCCAAGTACCTACCAGCTAAATGTCTTTCAATCATGGCTTTCAGATCTTCTTCCTTAACATTCTCATTTACTTGACCCACTTGGGACAAGGCAAGTTTTGTCTTCTTTGTGTCCACAGCTCTCTTTTTTCTATCCCCCTTTTTACCTGTGGGATGATCATTTTTGCTTTGTGCTAACTCAACGTTTAAATCATTTTCTCCATCTTCTTCCTCTCCAACTTCATCGACAGTAACAAAATTAAGTTCTTCTTTAAGGTTGTTAAAATCTGCCAGAGAGTCTTCATCTTCTTCAGTTACTTCATCCAAAGTCACTAAATGCAGATCACTGTTTTCATCTTGTATTTCATCTACAGTAACTAAAGCAGAAGGGTCTTCAGGCATCTGAGAAGAAATGAACCCAATGGAATCCGTTACAGTATTTCCCTCATCTCCTTTAGTATTCAAAGTGGCAAAAGTTATGTCTGTTGACTCATTTAAAGGTAACTCTTCTACTTCTCCAATTTCATCCACAGTTACCAAGCGTTCTTGTTTGAGAAGGTCTTGTTCTTCAGCCACTGACAGGACAGTAACATCTTTAGGTTCACTATGGGAAATGCAATCATCTTGATCAATTAACTCATCTAATGTAAGAAGTGAATTTGAATTTTTTACCATTTCTTCCATATTTAGTTCTTCTTCGTCAATTACTTCATCCACAGTGACAAGAGCTTGTGCTAGGTGTGCAGCTGCATCTTCCTCTTCCCCAATCTCATCCAATGTTACAAAAGATAATTCACCCTCAACAACATGAGGAGCAGAACTTTTCCCCTTCTTCTTTAAATTCAGTTCAGAGGAAGGGGTATTTTTGAGAGCTTCCTTCCTTTTTCCCTTTGGTGGATTCTGCTTAGCTTGAGAAGGATTCACTTCTTCTATAACCTCATCCACAGTAACAAATTCATCCAAATTAAATGGAAATAATGGTTCCTGTTGGGAAGTTAAAAATCAGTGTTGAGAGTAACTACTGATCACTGGCTAGGTTCCAAACAGTCCCAATAAATCATTTGTGAGAATTTCAGTGCAAATAAGTTTCCTAAAGGTTGAAATTAGTATTTAAAAAAAAAAAAAAAAAAAAGACCCACAAATGAA